GCTGGATGACTTGGGCCAGTTGCACACTCTCAGCCTAACCTACCTCACAGGGTCGTTGTGAGGCTAAAACACAGGAGAAGAAGAAGAGAAGAGATTGGATTTATACCCCGCCCTTCACTACCCAAAGGTGTCTCAGAGCGGCTTACAAACGCCTTCCCCTTCCCCTCCCCACAACAGACACCCTGTGAGGTAGTTGAGGCTGAGAGAGCTCTCTTGAGGACTGCTCTTGAGATAGCAGCTCCAAAAGAACTTGTGACTGACCCAAGGTCACCCCAGCAGCTGCATAGAAGCCAAATAAAATAAATAAATAAAATAATAAATAGTGCGGGTCAGTCCCCACCCCACAACGAAACCTTACTTCTGTTTCAGTATGTTTAAGAAAAGAGTGCTGACTGTCCCTGGCAGCGGTAATTTGTGGCTGTTATTTGGGCTTCAAGAGCTTTTCAGGTGCTGAAAATCTCATGTCTGTTTGTTTTTTCTTTTGGATTGCAACGGGCGTACTCTGTAACCCCCTGGAACGTGTTTGCTTTTATTTACTCTGCATACAAAGCTGCCTTTCCTGTAGCTCAGAGTAGCTAAGATGTCTAACAAAGCAGGGCGAAGACAAATGCAGAGAACAGCAACCCACTGATTTGAAGCCTCTAAATTTCACTCAAATATTCCTCAATTCCGGGCTGCCAACCAGGGAAGCCTCACCAGTCAGTCTCACAAGCAGTGCATTTCGCTGAAGAAGAAGAAGAAGAGATTGGATTTATACCCCGCCCTTCACTACCCAAGGGAGTCTCAGAGCCGCTTACAATCTCCTTTCCCTTCCCCTCCCCTCCCCACAACAGACACCCTCTGAGGTTGGCGGGGCTGAGAGAGCTCTCTCGAGGACTGCTCATGATATAACAGCCCCAAAAGAACTTGTGACTGACCCAAGGTCACGCCAGCAGCTGCATGTGGAGGAGTGGGGGAATCAAACCCGGTTCTTCCAGAGTAGAGTCTGTGCACTTAACCACTACACCAAACTGGCTGGGCTCCTGAAGCAAGCTTGTCTTCTTGGCATGGGGGAAAAAAGTATTCTGCAAAAACATAAAAATGCTAATTATCGCAGCGATCATATTCCTTATAACAAATTAAGTTATGGGGAAAACGGTTATATGCGTCGGTATTGGAAACGAGGTGTTGTCTTCTTTTTTGTTTGCTTAAGCATTTCTGTGCCGCTTCTCTCCCCTCTGGGGACTGAAAGCAACTTACAGAGAAACACAGAATACAATATAAATAAACAAAAGTTACATGGGACGACTGCAGCATCCCGGCTGGGTCCTGGATCCCCTGACTTGGCTCATTCAGGACCACAGGTATGGTTGTCAGCCGGGCTCCTTTTGTAGTAGGACCTCCTTTGCATATTAGGCGACACACCCCTTGTCACAGCTCAGGTGGGGTGTCACCTGACGCTGCCACCACTCTGGATTTAGGATCCCTTGAGAAGGCCCAGAGCACCCTCCCAAGACCTTCAGACCTCCCTTTTGGCCGAATAATAGGCGTGAAGACCACGCAGAGTACAACAAGAAAAAGGTTTATTTTATAGGAGGTCAAACAACAAGGTGCAGAATTACGGTAAGTGGGTGAAAAGAAACGAACTCAAATGCCCTTACGTGTCTAAATATACTGTCCCTAGTTCACTATCTGCAGGGGCCTTAGACTACTCACCCTTTCCTCAGGATGAGGGTTTCTTCCTGCAGCAGCCTTCCTTCTGGCTCTGCCCTCTGGGAAGAAGAACAGCTTTTCCTGCTGCACCAGATCTTTTATTCCAAGCCCTCCGCTTTTCCTATTGGTCAATTTTGGCTCCAAAACCTCTCAGGGGCTTCTGGGAGTTGTAGGCCCAGCCTCACCTACTACTAGCCAGGCTCCCTGGGCCTAGTAGGCCTCTGGTGGCACAGCCCAGATCATGACACCCCTAATGTAGCCAATCCCCCAAGAGCTTTCAGAGCTCTTCTTACAGGGGCTACTGTAAGCTTTTGGAGGACTGGCTGCATTAGGGGGAGTGTCGCCTAATATGCAAATGAGTTCCTGCTACAAAAAGAGCCCTGGAACTTGCCAGCTCTGGACTGGGAAATACCTGGAGATTTTGGGGGTGGAGCCTGCGGAGGGCGGGGTTTGGGGAGGGGAGGGGCCTCAGCAGGGTACAATACCGTAGAGCCCACCCTCTGAAGCAGCCACTGTCTTTACAGGGACTGATCTCTGTTTTCTGGGAATCAGTTGTTGTCGTGGCAGATCTCCAGGCCTCAGCTGGAGGCTGGCAACCCTAGTCACAGACTGTGTACGAAGAGCCAAGGACCTTTTGACTCTCAGCCTTCTGCTCACATCCCTGGCCATGCCTTGGCTTGAACACCTAACAAGGGAGGGAAGAAGAGATTGGATTTATACCCCGCCCTTCACTCAGAGTCTCAGAGCAGCTCACAATCTCCTTTCCCCTCCCCTCCCCACAACGGACACCCTGTGAGGTAGGTGGGGCTGAGAGAGCTCTGAGGGAACTTGTGACTGACCCAAGGCCACACCAGCAGCTGCATGTGGAGGAGTGGGGGAATCAAACTGAGTTCTCCCAGATTAGAGTCCGCACTCCTAACCACTACACCAAACTGGCTACACCAAACCTGGAGCAGAAACACAGCTGGCAAAGAGGTTCCTCACTCTCCCGTTTCAAAAGTCGGTGAAGAGTTCCAATTGATTCCTGTAACTTCTTTTATTAACTGCTTAATACTTTTCCAGAATTTTTGTATTTTCTCACACCTCCACCAAATATGAATATACGTTCCTATGTTATTCTTACACCTGTTAAAATGCATTTAACACGGGGTTGATGATGCTAAAGCAACAGCAACTCGAATTAAAAATGCAAAATAATCCACACGTATTTGGCAAAAGGAAAGAGACTAATAAAGCCACAAAATCTAAATGGTACGGAATCCTGTAATTTAAGACGAGGCCAATAGAAACAAACAGGACCTCACCTGGGGCCAGAACACCATCAAAGATTGTGCCCGGCCGTGTTGGTCTGCTGTAGAAGGTCAAGTCCAGTGGCACCATAGAGACCAACACGATGGGGAGGATAAGATTTTGAGAGCCGAAACTCTCTTTGTCGGATACAAGTCGGAGTGGAGATCCCTGAGTCATAGAATCATACAATGTTAGAGCTGGAAGGGACCTTGCAGGTCATCTAGTCCAACCCCCTGCACTCTGCAGGAGCAGAGCCAAAAGAGGGTCATCCATCCTCCTCTTGAAAACGTCCAGCGAAGGAGCATCCACCACCTCCTGAGGCAGACTGTTCCACTGCTCAACCACTCTGACAGGAAGTTTCTCCTGATATTTAGCCGGTAACGACTCCCTTGTGATTTCCACTCTTTAAATCTAGTCTTGCAGTCCGTAGCAAGAGAGAAAT